TCATAGAAGAGGCCCACAGCACCTTCAAGATTTGAAGACTCTGTGCAAGAATGGGCCAAAATCACACCTGAGCAATGCATGCAACAAGTTTCTTCACACAGGAGGCGTCTTGAAGCTGTCATTACAGGCTTTTGTACAAAGCATTAAATACATTTCAGTAGTTCAATACTTTTTCCCTGTGCCATTCCATTTTATTACGCATAACCTAATTTGGGAACTTATTTCTTTTGTTTTCTTTGTATGTATGTATTACTTAGGTTGTTACCGACATCTGGTGAAAATTTCATGTCAACAGCACCTTTAGAAATATATTTACTGGGAAAATGTGATGGAGGTGATGTGTTCAATACTTATTGTACCCACTGTACTTATTTGTTCACCTACTGCTCTTTGACCTATATAGTAGGGAAGTATGCAGATTCGGATGCAGCGATTGCCTGTCATGTGGACCAAGTCCTGTGGCCAGACCCATCATGAAGACGTAATGCTGTGGCAGAATGAATCTCACATTGACTTTGATTTTGCAGTTGCAAAATATATTTGCGTGTACAGAAAAAAATGAGGGAACACTTTGTCATTGCAGTATAGCACCAAGTCAGTTAAACTTCAGAGATATCTCTCTGTCCAGTTAGGGAGCTCTCGGTCCAGTTAGTAAGTGATTGATTGTTTTGGTGCAAAAGAAAGTGACAGAGGCAAAAGCAAGACAACCCCGCCCCCAAAAGGAATGATTTTTGTCTCTAGTTTTGTGTTTTGTTAGGGTCCTTGTCACTACTTGTGCCATGAGGCAGTAGCTGCAACCCAATCAGGTTTGGTGTGTCTCCCAGGACAGTTTCAAGAGCATGCAGGGGATTCTATAATTGAAGATACATTTAGCATTTCAAAACAGAAAATCTGTTCATTAACAGAAATTCTTTCCAGTATCTTATTGAAAACATTTTCAATTTTAACAATTCAGTGCTTGCCAAACACAAGTAACTTCCTTTTTTTTTGACAAATTTTTTCTTTATAGTATTATTTGTCAGCTGTTACAGACAAATGTTGTTGCAATATTATAAGGGTGCAAAAAATACATCAATAACATTTATGAGATTTTAAAAATCAATTTCATTATTTTTGGAAAATAACTATTTAGGGCTTTTATACATAGATTACACAATGATACATGATGGAAAAAATACACTATTCCGGACAAAAAGAAACCATGAATTTCAGCTATATAAGACACTTTTTACAGAAAATATTATTTTATTATGGCCTGTAATATATTGTGATCCATGACAACGAGTAACAAATTATTAAAATAATTTAAAAATATATAAACATTTGCAAAAGCAGAAAAAAGTAACTGCCAGAGCCCTCCAAAATGACCTCAAGTAGGCTAGTGGTATGCATATTTCTGACCAAACTGTCAGAAGCAGACTCCATAAGGGTGGCATGAAGGCCTGATGTCCTGTAGTGTGACCTGTGCTCACAGCCCAGCACCATGCAACTCATCAGGGACTCTGGGCATCATTCTCCTGGTGTTATTGGAACCGTAACATAAATTTTCTTTCAATTGCTGTCAGTAATTGTAATAACAGCTGTGCCAGTGGTTGACGAACCTTTTCCTTCCATGTCAGCAGCCACAATTAACAAAGTATATCTGGGCCATTGCTGAAAAGATAACTGATGAGTTTGTTTACATTAAGTAATTTTATCACCACTTTGAGATTCATCAAATGTCACTTCTCACCTCTCTGTTCATGTCTGGTTCTCGCACACGAATGGTTCCAGATAAAATGTTGATATCAAACATGTTTGCTTTTGGAAATGGTGGCTCTTGGCTGACAATTGCGTAGTTGACTATACCGTTGTACGTTTCTGGGTCATCTGCATCAGTGGCTGTGACTGTCATAAACTCATAATCTTTGATGAGAGAATAAAGACTGATTAGCTGGTAAAAGTTCAAGAAGCATTTGATGAGAAAAAAAGCCATTTTACCAAGAAAATGCACTATACATGTACCTTTTCCAGCAGCTTCATGAACATGTCCATTAAAAGGATTTTGAGTAAACAGAGGCTTATTATCATTTTGGTCAATTACATTGATGACAATTTCCATTGGACTTTCTTTTACATCCATGTCACTTCCTGTAGAATGAGCTATAATCTAAAGAAATTAGAAGAAATATGGACATGTTAAGTGACAAATATCTTAGGTTCAATAAAGACCCAGTTAAATCAAAATTAGACTTGAGTCTTTTCATTCATGTCTATTAGGGGAGCGCTGGGCACAA